GAGAGAGAGAGAGAGAGAGAGAGAGAGAGAGAGAGAGAGAGAAAGAAAGAGAAAGAGAGAGAATTAAGAAGGAGATAGTGACCGAAGAGGGAGAAAGAATATTGTAACTGAATTCTGATTGCCTTTTCATTTCTTGTTTCCCGATACATATACTAAGTTGGCCCACATGCCATTTTCCATTCTTAATAGTAAAACTCATAAATAAACTTAACAATGTCTAATAATAAAATAAAGAATAACAATAACTGAAGTCAATGGTCCAGCTAACTCTTGTTGACTCTTGACCCTTGCCACGTTAGCATCAGTAGTATTGGACGAGAGCTCGCCACGTGTCCCAAGTCTCGGTTTAACATAGCCCAGGTCATCTTCTCTTTCATTTCCCCTTTTTCCAATTTCTGTCTTGCCCGTAACCCTAATTTCTCCCATTTCTCCTTCATCCCGTTCAATTTGACCTGAGATCACAACAATTTTCGCCGGATCCGAAGATCCTTGTCCGCAAGGATCGAAAGTTGGGAACTTTCTGCGTATGAAGCTCAAATCTTCCCAGGAGGTAGAATGTCGATCAACCCCAGCCCAAAGAACCAAAATTTGTTCCACCAACTCTCATCCCCTTCGAATTTGTCGACGATCTAAGACCCCTAGAGGCTCCACTTTAAAGCTGCCTTTGTCGTCAATGGAAGGTAGTTCATCATCAGGTATCACTTCTTTCCCAATGCATTTTTTAGTAGACACATGAAAAATCGGGTGGATTTTTGATCCTTCTGGTAGTTGCAAGCGATAGGCTACAAGACCTACCTTTTCTAAGGTAAAGGCTTGTAGTACCTGGCAGATAGTTTGAGATTTTTGCGTAGGTAGACTGAGTTTTGCCTAAAAAGCTGCAGCTTCAAATATACAAAATCCCCACCCTCTCTTGCCTATGCTTATCTGCATATTGCTTCATCCTCGCTTGTGAATGTGTCAAGTTTTCCTCGACTTCTTGGATTAGTTGTTGCCTGTAGTGTAAGAAATCATTCACCTCTTGATTCTGTGCCCCCCAAGTAATGGTCCAGGGTTAAGTTGGTGGGTTGATACCCATACAAGGCCTTGAATGGTGTCATCTTTAAGCTAGTTTGGTAGTTCGTGTTATACCAATACTCTGCTAAGGATAACCATTTTCCCCACTTCCTTTGATGACAATGTGTCATGCACCTCAAGTAGCTCTCCAAGCATTGATGTACCCTTTCTGTTTGCCCATCTATTTGTGGGTGATAGGCAGAACTCATATCTAGAGTAGTACCCATAAGATTAAACAGTTCTTTCTAAAACGTGCTGGTGAATACCTTATCTCTGTCAGAGATTATGCTTACTGCTTGGCCATGTAGTTTGTAGATATGGTCCATGGACAACTGAGCCACTGTTTGGGCTGTGTAGGGATGAGACAAGGCCAAGAAGTGAGCATACTTAGTTAGCTTGTCAACCACCTCTAGTATGACAGTTCCCTCTATAAAGTCCATAGAAATATGGCTCCAAGCTTGTACAGGAATGGGTAAAGGTTGTAAGAGGCCTGGGTAAGGTCCAGGGTTAGATTTGCTTTTTGCACACACTTCACATTGTTTGACCCAGTCCATAACATCCTGCCTCATCTTAGGCCAGTAAAAAGTTCTGTGTAACCTGGAGAAGGTGCCATGAATTCCAGAATGACCCCATAGGCTGTGTCATGTACCTCAGAAACAATCTTTTCCCTCAGTTTGGAATTGCAACCTACCACCAACCTTCTCTTGTATCTGATGAGTTCATTTGTGATAGTGTAATCAGGGTATGAGCTTGGGTCTAGGGTGTTAGCAGTGATGATCTTCTTGTTAGTGTTATATACTGAAAGCTTAGCTTTGGATGATACTACACTTCTACACTTTATGAATGAGAAACATGGTAGATTAAACAAGTTATATGTTCTGTTGTTTTGCATTAGATAGTGTGGGTCGTCATCGGGCAAACCGAAGATCATGCTATCAGCTACTCGCGAAACAAGAATAGTTGGTTCACAACCCAGATGGACATGAACACCCCATCGTGAACGGTTGTAGTGTCGACTGTACAATTTGTCTTGACTGATTAGTTGCACTAGTATATTTATGTATTGAACAGGATCAAAGAGAGGAGTAGTTCGTTTTATACTGATCGTCGTAAACGAACTAGGCCTCGGTTAATTACTGCGTACTCTTAACCTGTAAGATATTAAACAGGCATATATGTAGTACTTATTACTTTGATTCACATGGGTGAGGCTTAGTGAACTGGGCCAATAGACCCGCTGTCTTGGGTAATATTGCTGCATGTAGGATGTGCTTTTAGGATATTTACGGTCACCATGCACGTTAGTTTGATGATGTCTCCGGAGTTAGTTCATGAATGATTATTATGCTAAACCCTGCAGGTGGATTAAATTCCGACTTAATAATAATGTGATGAACGAGCGCTAGCTTTGGTGAAATAATAATAAATTAATTAATTATTGATTGTCAGAAATCGAATTAATTAATGGACATTATATCTTAAACATGGGGTGATAAATCGAGTAATTATTATTGGAGTCTCAATTGTAAATTGGGCTAAGAAAATAGAGTGCAATAATATTATGCTGGTGACGCATTTAATATTATTTAATTAATTAAAATAAGTGACTTGGTCCACAAGTATTTTAAATTGGGAAGTTGTTGTACTATTGCAAAATTTGGA